GGCTCTGAGCTGTCGGCACAGAGCCCGACGCGGGGCTCGAACTCACGGACCGTGAGATCATGACCTGAGCCGAAGTCGGACACTCAACCGACCGAGCCACCCAGGCGCCCCTAACACATTTTTTAATGAATAATTAAGATCTTTGTTTTTGGTAAGTTTCATACACTCTTTATGTAACTGCCAGTATATTTCAGGGAGAGGATCAAGTCTACCTTTGGTTTGATAATATAAAAGGGACAATATGAATAATTAGATACAAAACATTTATCAAGTTTGTACATGGCCACTGAACTTTTCATATAACTTTGCTTAACCTTGTCTGTTTAATATTCCCTTGGATAACAATCAGGAAACGCACTGTATATTTTTTCTTCACCAAAGTTATGAGACCTTGAAACTTTTTTTCTTCAATTTCAAAGCTACTCTTGTAGTTAGCCTTCACACTTAGTTTAACTTGTGATATCTACCTTAAATTTCTTTGTTGTCCATTCATCTTTCAGATAGCATTATCCCACATCCTCTAAAATTTACAGAAATTCAAATCCAAGTGTACTTGTATGGAACAGATCTTTTTATCAAATGTAAATTCTATTCTCATTTTTTACTATCTATATAATTTCTGCTTGATTTGAAAATAGCCACTTACTGACTTTTGAGAATAACTTTTTTATATCCCCTTTGCAAATATAATCTTCTCCATTCAGAATATATTTTCTGTTCTCCTCCCACATCAACATATCTCTTTGCTCGTCTGAAATTTACCACTGATTAGCCCTTTATTAAATTTATCTTTGATACTGAAAACTTTTTTTTTGTATAATCCATCTTCCATCTGGTTGCTAATTCTCTTTACAATAGATTCTCTATTTCTTTTGTTTCTACAACAATGAAGGTAGAAATAGGAAAACCAACCAGGGGCTTTGTAAGTAGACTAACTCAAACTCTACCACTTACCCCAGGGATGTGAGGATTGAACAGAAAAACAGAAAATCTCCTCGTCCTCATACAGGAAAAGCACAATTTTTATTTCTAGTGCCTACCACAGGAACTCAATAGATTCTGTGTATTTAAATAACTAAAATAAGATTTCCACACAAACCTTTTTTTCAACTTCCAAAGGAAGTCTCACATCTCTTCTTAGGAAAAGCTGTGGTGTTTCTCTTTGGGGATCCAAATTAGTTAATTCAGCAAGTATTTCTGGCCAGTCACGAACATGTTGCAATGGTTTATGATAAGGCTTGAGTTGAAGGCCTGAAAAACATCTTTCCTTTTATAAATGATAATGTAAAAATAAATTATATCAACACATGGAAAATTTGTATTAAATTATCTGTACTTAAGTGCTGAATACACACAAAGTAAAGGTCTAAATTCTAATCAACGCTGACTTTAACCAATAATGTTACTACCCAATTTTAGGTGAAGAGCTTTTGTTTTTAAGAATATAAGAATTATCGGGGCGCCTGGGTGGCGCAGTCGGTTAAGCGTCCAACTTCAGCCAGGTCACAATCTCGCGGTCCGTGAGTTCGAGCCCCGCGTCAGGCTCTGGGCTGATGGCTCAGAGCCTGGAGCCTGTTTCCGATTCTGTGTCTCCCTCTCTCTCTGCCCCTCCCCCGTTCATGCTCTGTCTCTCTCTGTCCCAAAAATAAATAAACGTTGGAAAAAAAAAA